TAAGGGTGAAAGTGACTTTTTAACAAAATTCTTAAAAAACAACGATTAATAGGTCATTTTGAAAAATCCCCCCTTAAAAGAAGGCTACCTCAAAATTAATAAAAATTAAAAAGAGATTGAAAAATATGTATTTCTTGATTTCAGCAACTCTCGTTGACATTCTCTTTAGCTACGGTGTAGGATGGAAATTTAGGAAAATTAATTTAGCTATAGAAAAGTCAGATTCCTGATTTATTCAAGTGTGTGAAGTTTCAAATTAGTAAAATCTTGACTTCCTTGTTAGAGGACTGAAATATGGTAATTTGCCAATTAAAATTCATCCAAATGTGCTATATTACCTAGGGAATGCCCAATATATTGACTTGCCTGATTTAATGAAAGATCTCACTATTGTAGCTATTGACAGTCGACGGTCCACAGTCGCCCTAACTCACTAATATTTCTAGATCCACCACTGATGTGAATACATGAAAATGAATTAGGTTTCAGAACATTCAAGATATGATTATGCAAAATATAGCGATTTATCATAATCTATTATCGGACTCTACAATGATTGCTACTAGGTACTACAATTCTTATTTTTTCTCACTGAACAAAATAGAAATCACAAATATATTCAATCATAGTTCAATTAATTGAAAGCATTAATAAGATAAACCATTCAAGCTGACACAAGTAATTAACATCAAAATCTTGAAATAAACATTAAAAAATCAAAATATAGGTTCATCATTATCATAATGTTATACAATTTCGAGCTTCATAAAATTAAACAAACACAATTTGAAATAATAATACATCACCTGAATTTCAATTAAGAGAAATCAAAAACAACTCTTGCATCTCGTGAATATCTTCAACAATGATATTCTTGTACAAATCTTCTTCCAAAATTCAAGTGAAGGTATTGAATTTGTGTATGATTATGTGCTTATGAATGAAAAGCTTCTTCTCCCTTCTTGAATGCTAGAAAATTCTCTTTAGTAGTTTCAAGATTTGGGCAAAACTCAGTGTCCGATTCTCCTTTCATGTAGAAGCCTAATTGAAGTAGGAAATAAATTCCCGTATGTCCCTCAACCAAGCGATCACACGATTCAATGGGTTGAGATTGCATGAGTAGGACCCATAAAATGCTGACTCTAAATTTTATCTCCACGTGATCATATGGTTCAAATCTTGCGAAAGGTTAAAACTTTGCTCCATAGTTAACGTTAGTCCATGAACGTTCTCTTTGGTTCAGCACAAGTCCCTTCTTATTTTTTTTGTGAGTTCATCTTTCAATTCTTTACGCATCGAGTTTCTTCTGAAACAATTAATATTTAACCAAGATTAAGTAGCAATGCGATAAAATTAACTCTCAAACATCTACTTTTTATAGTTGGATAAATATAAAATTACAATTATCAGTTGTCTTCCATCCGTTACTTTGATCTGTTTGAATTTCTCAAACGATTTCGTTTGCCTTATTATTGAAATAGTTAATTTTAAATGGAATGACAAGTTAGGAATAACGAACTTGACTATTCGAAAAATTCTAAAGATCAAAAACCGTTAGGAACAATGCTGAAAATGGGTTAAATACACTAGTGGGCACTCAACTTCATACTTATTGTTATCATGGCTATTCAATTTGATTTTGTTTAACTATTGTCACCCAACTTTATATTTAGTATCATCACGGTCATCCAATTTGATTTTATTTTACCATGGCCAACCAATTTTATATAACATTTCATCATGATCATCAAACGTTTTTTTACCCTTTTTATTTTAAAAACATTTTTTAAAATAAGTTTTTTTTATATACAAATTTATCATTTTACCCATTTTAAAATTAGTGAAAAGGATGAAAAGAAATTGGGTGGCTTGGTGAAACGTTATATGAAATTGGGTGACCATAGTGAAACATTATTTGAAATTGGTGGTTAGGATGAAATTAAATTGAATTTGGTGACCATTGTGACATTAAGTATAAAGTTGGATGCCCATTTGTGAATTTATCCCTTTTGAAAATATAGTGTCTAATGACATTATTAACCCTCAATAGCATCTTTGCAATTAGGGGTGTCCAAAAGTCCCGAATCGAACCGAACCCGAATCGAATCGAGCGGTTCTTCATAAATTAAATACCCGAACGGGTACCCGAATCGAGAACCGATGAGTTTGAGTCGGGTCTCAGGTATAGACTAAGAACCGAAGAACCGAATAAGAATCGAAACTAAATATAATTCATTAGCCCATTTTAATTTGAAGCAAATGAATATACTTTATGTAGTTTTGCTGTAATATTAATATCTACTTTTTGGTATTTGTATGCATTGAATTAATCTTATTGGACGGCTAGTTATTTATATGTTTTTGAATTGGGCTACGTTAATTTGTAAAAGTTATGAATGAAATGTATGTAGTGTTGTTGATAATATTAAAAAATTTAATTATGGTACGGGACCGAACGGAACGGAACCGACCCGAATCGAACCGAACCCGAATGTTCCATAATTATATTTGGACCCGACGGATCCATTTATTAAATATCCGAAAGTTTTAGATCGGATCGGGTCTCTTCAGAATCGAATCGAACCGGCCGTATTTGCAACCGATCGCAGGCCAAACTTCCTCGCCCCGGAAACCCTTGGAGGTTTTTGCATTAAACCCCTTTGATTTTGCATTCCACAAGTGACAAATTGCCGTTGCAGATGTAGGATTTATCATCTTCGACATGGCAGCAGCTTCAATTTCCAGAACAATAGAAAGAAATCTCCGACCTATCAATTTATCCAAGTGGCTTCCTCCTTCCTCTCTATTTTCTACTACAGCCCCCGGTATCTCCACTGTACCTCAGCAACCTCAAGGTATACATACTTTTTTTTTCTTTTTTTCAATGATTTAGGTCTTTCTACCTTTAGATTTTAATTTGAGAATATTTCTTTAAAATGATCTGGACTTTCTGCATTTTGTGTCATTATGTCGATTAGGTTCAAACAAAGAAAGATCTACATGGTCAAAGGTGTTGCTTTTTGTACCAGGAGCCATCACTTTTGGCCTTGGCACTTGGCAAATCTTCAGAAGACAAGACAAGGTTAGAGTTTTACGCTTTTTTGTTTTTTTTTTAAATTATGATTAGTATGACATGTTTGTTTGTACTTTTTTTTTTTAGATTCAAAATTAATAAAGTTAATGTCTGATACGGGTCCTGTATTTTAGTTAATGACAAAGATTCGTAACCTATATCACTAATTTGTTTCTGCAGATAAAAATGCTGGAGTTTAGGCAGAATAGACTAGGACTTGAACCACTTAAGAGTATTGAGATTGCAACTTCTAGTGGAAACTTTGACTCTCTGGAGTTCAGGAGAGTACAATGTAGAGGATTTTTTGATGAGAAGAAGTCGATATATGTTGGCCCGCGTTCAAGAAGTATCTCTGGAGTGACTGAAAATGGATACTACCTCATTACTCCCCTTCTGCCGATCCCTGATGATCCTAACAGGTAAGATTTTGGGAACTACTCAGATAAAATTCCTTCTAAAACCATATATCACTTAACAATAAGGGTGTGTGTAATTGACTATATTTTCCATGGAAAATGTCCTTTTTCCACTGAAGTTGTCATTTTTTTTATGGTGCTCACTGTTTTCTCATTATGTGATTAAAAATTCTTTCAGTTTGCAGACACCAATATTGGTGAATAGAGGATGGGTCCCACGGAGTTGGAGAGACAAGGCATTAAAAGTTTTCGAAGATGATGACCGGTTAAGTGGAGCATCCACCCCTGCTCAAGAGAGTGCAGAAAGCTCTTGGTGGCGTTTTTGGTCCAAAAAGCCGATCATTGTTGAGGTTGTCAAAACGTTCTGTGATGTCTTTATTCGATGCTAAATAGTGAATTTTATTTTAAATTAGTTACATTATATTGAATCTTTCAGGAGCACTCTCCAGCTATTAACTCTGTAGAAGTTCTTGGAGTTGTACGTGGCAGTGAGAAGCCAAGCATATTTGTTCCGGCCAATGATCCCAGTGCCGCTCAGTGGTTTTATGTTGACGTGCCTGCTATAGCTCAAGCTTGTGGACTTCCAGAGAACACACTATACATTGAAGATATCAATGATAATGTCAACCCCAGCAGTCCATACCCTGTTCCAAAGGAGGCTAATACACTTATTCGTAGTTCAGTAATGCCGCAGGACCATCTAAATTATACATTGACTTGGTACTCTCATTTCCTAATTTTTTCAAATCTGTGGATATAAAAAGCATGCAGTCTTACTGTTTTGACACATTCTTTCATGAGTTGGATATGATATTTATTTAGCCGCTGTTTGGGCTCCATTAAAAATAGGTTCTTGGAAAAATGTATTTTGAAATAGTGATTTTTTGAAGAATATGTGGTTAAAAAAATTAAGTAGAGTTTTGAATTTACGTGTAATATTATTTTATTGAAAAATGTGGTTGAAAATAAGAAAGAGAAAAATGTATTTCCACAAAAATGGAGCCCAAACAGGGGTTTAATGTTTTCCATCTGGTTTTGACATGGGGATGATGGAAGATAACTCTTCCATATCATAGCTGTGTAAAATTTTCAGCAAGTCAGTCAATTTATTCTGTCAGTGCATTCTACTAATGATATATGCTTGACTAATTTATTTTTATTTTAGTTACACCATTGGCTAATAAATTAAGAATATTTTTTTCTCAAAAGTCTGTAAGTGCACTGGTTCTCCATAGATATAAGATGCCCAACAGTTCCAAATATTTAGGAACGAGAAAGCTAAAACCTAACTTCATGTCAACCAGTGTTTGTCAAGCTGGTGTACTTTGTTAATTGGTTTTTTAGAAAGTTTCTGATGAAAAGAATGGTGAATATGAAATAATATAATAATCCAAGCCATCTTAACTTTTTCCCATGTCAAGGACATTTTAGTAACAAATTTTAAGCCAAATCTTATTGCCTCCATGAAGGTGATTAACTTTCCTCTTTAAAAAATGATGGTTTTGTTCAGCTCGTGTCATAGCCGTTTCAAGCCTAGTTTGGCTCGAGACTGAGCGAGCCAAGCCTGAATGAAAAAAGAAGTGATTTTAGCTTGTTAATATTTCAAGTTTGCATCTATCTCATCTCTACAAGCTAATAAATAGCAGATAATGGTGTAAATTAATTCAGTTGCTAAGTCATGACTTGAGTTCAACTTATCACGACCTCATTCTAGCTTAGTTTGAACATTTCTTAGGACCATTCTAGACATCAATCCGAGTTTGAGCTTCCAAAAAATAGTTGAGCTGGCTCAATTGCACCTTCATCTGGGATTCAAGATTTCACATGCAGTGAGATGATTGACAAAAAAAAAAGAAAAAAGAAAAAAAAAACGATTTCTGATATAAAAAGACTGCACAGCTAAAGCCGAAATGTTAGGACATGAAGTGAATGAAATCCAGGTGAATTGATCTGATAAAGCCGACACTGAAGTTCTACTATTAGCACTTTTAAGATGGATGGTTCGTTTCATGTTATGTGAAAAATAGTTGAAATTTTGGAGACATAATTCTCTGCACATAATTGAGAGTTGTTCTTGTATCAGTTTCACAATCCACTTCAATCAGTTGTTCTTTATAGAGGATTTTAAGGATAGTTTTGGATGCTTCTGATGCCTAAATGTTATCTTCCACCTCAGTATGCACTTGAAACGAATTGGATTAAGATTTCACTTCATGGCTCATATCAAAGATGTCCATCTATGGACTGTTTTTCCCTTGTCAGATGTACCTTTCCTGGTATCCCATCAAAGAAAAACCGTTCCCATTTTCACCTTCATGTTTGTTGGCACATGGTGATGCTTGAGCCTGTTTCGGAACTCATAGGATCTGCTGCTCACAAATCACATGGTGTGATTCATCATTCAACTGGATAGTTCTTCGTACATAGTTTTTGGGCATTACCACATCACTCCTATGCGGCCTGTTTGTGCTGTATTTAGGTTGTCTGCTCACTTCTTTTCATTCAGTTGCGACTTGCGAGTTCAATGACTGGATGCATTGTATAAGAAACATAACAAAGGAAAGGGATTGTTCTGGATAGTTTTGTTTGTTGCTGCTATGCATTCTCTTGCATTTACATGCCTGCTTTCATTTCCAATATTTGTTATCTTATGCACACCCTCATTTGTACCCTTTGCTTTCACTATTTAAGTATCTAGTTCTATCATATTTCTCAGCTAGCAAAATTAATGGAAATATTATGATGAACCTTTCGTTATTCCATAAAAACAAGAAGGAAATTAATTACGAACACAATTAGAAAATGGAACTTCAAGGTTAATTATTTAACTGATGTTATTTATTACTTGGATTTTATATTTGGCGAGAGAAACTAATTTCCTTGCCTCTTAATTCCCTTTTTCTCTTTCCACAATGAAACCCGGCATACAGGCTGAGATTTAGGGTCCAAGTAGAATCTGAAAATGGTTACATTTGGAATATTGAGTTGAAAGATTATCATCTGAATGAAGATTTTCTCATTGACCTCTAATAGGCAACTGTAGTTGCATAATCTTTTCATTATTGACCAATATGATAAACCTATCTATTAACGTTTGCAGCACGAGTAAAAAGGCGATAACACTGTTATCTGATACTGATTTTTGTCTTGTGAAGGTATTCTCTGTCAGCTGCAGTAACATTTATGGCTATCAAGAGACTAAAACAAAAAAAGAGAAGGAGATAGAACGGCTTTCCCATGGTGCAATATTTTCTCTGCACCGTCTGGATTACAGCAAGAAGTTGATTTATGAGCAGGAGATCGATCCAGATTTTACATTTTCATCTGTGCCTTTAGCATTGGCCCTGTTCTGAGAGTCTTATTGTTTCGTCTGATCAGCCGAGTTAGGTGATACAGACAGTTAGGTAGTATGATAAAGCCTAGAGTTCTACGGTATAATCCAATGCAATATTTGTTCCTTTTTCAAGTGAAGCAGATCACATTTTCATCAACTGTATACATTGTTTTGGTGTTATTACATTTCAACATTTTTCAGTCTGATAGTTAATTTAATTTCAGTAGATATCAATTTACTTTTCATGTTCTTGAAGCGGCCAATATGCCGATTCCATCAGCTATTTAGCATGAATTATTAATTTTATTTTCTGCCATTTTACAAATGTTAGAATTTATGTATTTAGAATATTCATTTGAAATCTTACACAATTTTGCAAATAGTGGGGGATTGATATTTTCAAGCTATTTTAAAATACTCAAAAACATGTTTGGTTTGGTAATTTTATAAAGTAAATTCATTTTTAAAAACAAGATTAAGAGTCTATTTGATCTGCATTTTTATCCAAAATATATTTTGGAATAGTATTTTGATTAACTTCTGGATGTGTAATTAAAAGAGAATGAAAAAAATTTGAATTTACGTATAATATTACTTTATTGAAAAATGTGTGATTGAAAATAAAAGAATGCATTTTGAAAATAATGGAAACCAAAAAAGGGCTAAGAGTTTGTTTGAGTTCCATTTTTATTGAGAATAGATTTTATAATAGTGAATTTTTTTTTGTAGGATATGTAGGTAAAAAGTAATAAAAAAATTTTGATTTACGTGTAAAATTATTTTATTGAGAGAACATATAGTTGAAAATAAGTATTTAAATAACGAGGATCAAACGATAGTTAAATTTATAATATAAAACTGAAAGACTCCTATCTACATGCTCTAGAAGGACCTAGAAGAGCTGAGAAGTTGCTAGAAACAAATTCAATTAGGAGTATTGTGGGGAATAGGGTGAGATAGGTTGTAACAAGGGAGATATAGGAATTCATTCATTGAGTATCCTGTGAGTCAAGTGAGGAGAGATCTGGCCTCTCCAATAGCCTGGAAATTGTTTAGCTTCATTCATATTTCCATCAACATCTGTAGCCTAACAATTCCACTGGGCAACATACTCATAGGCCTCTAGCAGCAACAGCAGGTGAAATCCTTTAGTTGAAGCACAGCACCACGGGAACCTATCATAAACTCAAAACAATCAAAACACGGAAAATAGAATTATTTCAATTCTTCTTTCCAATGACAAATCAAACCCACCCAAAGGGTAATGGCGTAAGACCTTTCTATCATTTACCTTCAACGCTCAAATTGTTAGGGATGGAAAAAAAAATACATTCAACCCGATGCACGTGGCCACGCCTCGAATAGGGCGGGGATTAGCACCTAACTGGGTCAACGGGACGAGGTTGAGGCAGGTCATTGCCTTGAAGCGGGTACGGGAAACATAGTCCCCGTCCCGTTACCCGCCATGTTTAAAGTTAATTTTAAATTTAAATTTTTTATCAAATAAATATAAAAAATTTATCATCATTTTTAAAGAGAATATTGCTGTAAAATAATGAGATAATTATTGATTATTATTTAGCATTATCATAATATATAGATAAGTCTTATCTTATTTTAGACCATATAAATATTGGTTTTGATTCTCAATAAAATAAATACTTGAGTTTTAATTCTTATATTTTCTTCTCTTCTTGTTCTATTTTTTTATTGCATTACACGTTATCAACACGATTCTCAAAAAATATAATAAATTAGTTTGAAGGTAGTCTATATTCAATCTCAAATCAAACGCATTATTTTTTTTATTGTCGCATACATGCATAATTAATTTTTAACACAACTTACATGCATAATCTTAAAATTTTATAAATATTCGTACTCAAATTCGTTGGTATTTGTATGCATATTTTTACTCAATTCAATGATGTCTAGTTAATGCTCCAATTGGTTTCTTCAACCTTCTATAAATACATGAAATTGGTTTCTACCCATTTTTCTTTACATCCAAATTTTTGGAATTCAATCACTCTATTTAATTGTGTTATTAAAGAAGTATACCCAAAATCCAATAATGTAATGTGCATATCCCTCAATATCATTACATGCTACTAATGATTACTTGTTTATCCCTTAATTTTTTTTTTTTAATTACAAAATAGTGCAGCTAAGTGAATGTATTTTTTGTTAAATTATTTTACGGGTTCCTTGATTTATTTTTATTTATATTTGCAAAATATATGTATTTTAAGATGATTATTGAATATTTTTATGTCTTAAACCTGATTAAATATTTGTAAATGTTCTTCTATAAACGTTAAATTAATAATTTATCGGGTTAATTTCACAAACGGTCACTGAACTTACGCAAAAATAACAAAACGGTCACTAAATTTCAAAACTTGAAGAAACGGTCACTGAAGTTTCATGCACATTCACAAACAGTCACTGAAGTTTAAGTTTCTTTCACAAACGGTCACTGGAGGACCGTTATATCTTTAGTTCAAACATAAAGGACCAAAGTGAGTTAACCCGGATTTTCGACAGTTTTGAGGTGCCAACTTTGGACCACCATAACTCAATCCTTTGGCCACATTTTGCCACGAACCAATATACCAAATTGAAGCCCTCAATGCCCTCTTAACAACTCACCCAACAACTGGCCTTTATCCTGTCATAATTGGCCGAAAAATCGAGCCAAAATGAGCTACCCGGATTTTGGACAGTTTGGAGGTGCCAACTTTGGACCACCATAACTCCGTCCTCCGGCCATCTTTTTCCACGGACTAATATACCATATTGAAGCCCTCAATTCCCTCTTCAAAACCCATCCAATCACTAGCTATGACCTAACGGAATTGTCTGAAAAATCGCCCCAAAGAGGGCTACCCACGGACAGCTTGCTGTCCANGTGGTTGGGTTGGTTGTGAAGAGGGCATTGATGGCTTCAATTTAGTCTATTGGTTCGTGGCAAAAGGTGACCGGAGGACGGAGTTATGGTGGTCCAAAGTTGGCACCTTAAAACTGTTCAAAATCCGGGTTAGCTCACTTTGGTCCTTTATGTTTGAATTAAAGGTTAAACAGTCCTCCAGTGACCATTTGTGAAAGTGCATGAAATTTTAGTGACCATTTCTGCAAGTTTTGAACTTCAGTGACCGTTTTGTTATTTTTGTGTAAGTTCAATGACCGTTTTTGAAATTAACTCATAATTTATCATGTTGTTACTCTTGAAGTAGCATAACATTATAATTAATATTTCAGAATAATATTAACCGTAAACATGTCTATTATAAATAGTTCGTTGTTACTCCTGAAGTAACATAACAGTATAATTAATATTCCAAAGGAATTTTACTTGCTCCTAAAAATCATTAATTATATTTTTCAATATTCCAGAAGAATATTGAAATATTGCTCTTGAAAAAGTAATGGTAAAATACAGCGTACTCTCGAAGTAGCACATGTTTTGAAGAACATATTATTTTAAATTAGTTTTTATTCTAGAAGGAAAACACGTAACTTATGTCATGTTGATAATGAATACTTGATTAATTATTGTGTGAAATTTAATCATATTCTTCAAGATTAATTGTATTTTATTTTATGGTGAAATTACTCAAATAATAAACATCACAAAATTTGAGATGACTTGTCGAGATATCTATTTTGTTGGTAGTGTAAATATGCAAACTATTATTCAAGACAAAAAATATTTTTAGACTTAAAATTAGCATAAAATAATGTTAATACGATATCGGGTGTATTGAATATTGTTGAAAACTCGAGAGAGCTTGCACTATTTTACCAAATAATACAAAATTATATACTGAAGATGCACTTTATTCTAGCAAATTCAGAAGAATGCTTAACTTTAAAGATATTCGCTGCAATAAATATCAAATTGAGACGATGCAAGAAAATAATGTTGAATATCTTTGCAAAAAAAAATTTATAAATCCGAAACAGATAAAAGAAAAATTTTATACACTCTCATAGGCATGTAAACATTTATAAAAATGGTTGAATAAAATATTATCAAGAACCGAAATTCGTTGATCCAAAAAAATTTATAATTTGACATAATTGACTTGGACATCCAGAAGCTGTAATGACGCGTCGAATAATAAACAACTCACATAGACATTATTTTAAAATTCTTTTGATTCTTTAATCTAATGTTTATCCATGTGTAGATTGTTCGCAAAGCAAGTTGTCATTAGACATTCGGCTCTAAAGGTCAACATTGAATCTCCAACTTTTTCGGAAAGAATTTATAGAGATATATGTGAGCCAATACACTCATCATGTGGACCATTTTCGTTATTTTATGGAATTAATTGATTCTTCTACTAGATGGTCACATAGTTGCCTACTTTCCACTAGGAATGCAGCTTTTACTAGATTATTTGTTCAAATCATAAAATTACAAGCGCAATTTTCCGATTACTCAATCATGATTATTCGTTTTGACAATGTTGGTGAATTTAAATCACAAGCATTCAATGATTATTGTATGCCAATTGGGATTGAACATTTGGTTGCGCATGTCCATACAAAAATGGTTTAGCGAAGTCATTTATTAAACGTTTACAACTTATTGCTAGATTATTACTTATGAAAATAAATATCCCCGCTTCTATTTGGGGTAATGCCGTATTAAATGATGTGTCATTGGTTCGTACCAGATCAACTGCATATTTCAATATTCACCTTTGCAATTTGCACTTGATCATGAACCTAATATTTCTCACTTACTAGTTTTTTATTGTGCTGTTCAAGTCCCTATTTCACCCCCACAATGAACTAAAATGGGTCCCCTATGAGAGCTTTAGATTTATGTTGGTTTTGATTCACCATATATTATTAGGTATCTTGAATTTTTAACATGTGA